AGGAGGTGTGTGCAAGGCCCTGTTTGTGTCCCTTTGAGTGCAATTGTGCCCTCCCTTCCTATTCTCAGTCCCTGTCTGGAACTCCCCCACTCAGTGCTCTTCTGGAGTCTGCCTAGAACTTGTTTGGGGAACGCTGTCCATTCATTCTCTAAGTCTGGACTCAAAGGGTGAGACAGAGGTCTGGGCTGTTTTGCCAGAAGCTGAAGCCCACTCCTGCTTTTGGTTCTGAAGGCGGGTTACACTGTTAGGATCAGGAGGTGTTAAAAAAGCTTACTGCTTTCAGCAGGTGCACAGTTAGGCTTGGGCCACATGAAGTCCATTCATAAAGTGCAACCAAACAACCCAGTCCCATTACCAAGGCAGCAAATCAAGTATGTATCTGAAACAAGATCTCTGACCTCTGCTCAGTGGGTCAAGCAGAGGCCTGGGCTGTCTTGACAGGCACTGAAACCCACCCCTGCTATTATTGCTCTGTGCTCTGCATGGGCATCAGTGTATGCAGAGGAGGTTCTTGTCAATCCATCCTCTGGACCTTTGAAAAGGATGACCAATCTACATGCATAATTTATTGTTTCTAAGTGGTTTCTGCAAACTTACAGAGAAAATAGACCCTATGAGCTCTTCAGCTGACTAGTTTCTCAAGGATATTTTTGAGGGCTTTGATCTAAGTCACAAAGCCTTTGCTGCTACCGGCTTTTCATTGACCTATGGCAACATGTCACCATGGAGACATCTTGCAACCCTTTTTTGGATCCTCCCAAGATGTGTCACAAGAAGTTCAGTGGAGTTTGTCTAGTTCTCCTCCTCGTTGTTGCTGTGCCTCTCTGAGCAGAATAATGCAGACAGTGTGAGTAACACAGGGGACGGCTTACCTCATATGCCAAGATGCAACTCAAAGAATGCCCAAAGATATGATGGGAATCTGGACATCAATGCTATTAACATGGCAGCACTAGGGGCTGGAAGGAGGCATAGTGGGAGTGCAGGACACTGCAAGGTTGACCCATGCGGGAAAGTTCTAGGTTCATCCTTGGAGACCTCCCTGAGTACAGCAGCCATGGGTGTGCCCATGGTCCAAGGCTTCTTGGGGGCTGCGGATAGATCATGGCATTGGGATCCTATCGGAGTGCTCTCTCTCTCTCTCTCTCTCTCTCTCTCTGTGTCTGTCTTTCTAGCTCATGGGGGAAATAAATAGATAAACTTAGAAAAAATTTATACATGGCAGCATTATTGGCTGTCAGTCTTGGGATACATTCTCCCGAACCCTGTTTCTATCTTCGAATCACTTTTCCTGTGCTCTCTTGCAGGCTTTCTTAATGCTGGGGCTCTTGTTACTATGTGATGTCCTAGAAGAGCCACAAAGTGCATGAGTTTTGTGTTTGAGGGGTCCAGAATAATATCTCTATATATGCTTTATATGCTTCAAAAACTGGAGGTTAGGGCTGGCTCCATAGTGCAGCACTTAAGCCCTGTGTATGAATTCCACATGGCCAAATATAGTTCAAATCCTAGCCCTGGTCGCTTGAAAAACAGGCCAGTCATGTGTACATGCCCCAAATCCTGATAGGATGGAGAAATGGAGAAAAAAGATTGTGTGTAGCATACCTCATTGAGGGGGGGATTTCTCGCCTTCTGTCTCTCTGTCTCTCTGTCTAGTGCACATGCCCTAAAGCAAAAATCTCTCTTAAAAAGTTACTTAGATGTATGTGTACAGCGTATCCATCTCCTTCTGCTTGGAAATATGTAAAAAGCAAACTGAACGTTTTCTTTGGCTAGATAACTAACATGGAGCGCTCCTTTGGCGTCCTTGCAGGCCAGCTTATTTTCATACTCTCTCTTAGGAGAATCATGCAAAATACCATTGAGCTCAAATGTCCCTTTTGCAGCAAGACTTTCCTTGGCAACCTGCTCTGCCACACGTCCCTCTCTGTCATCTTGGCTGTGAGCGCCTGTCACTATGTGACATTATATATTTTTAACAGTTCATTTTATTTATGAGGGAGAGTGTGAGTGCACGCACATGAGAGGGGGTAAGAGAGCGAGAGAAGCAGCATCCTCAGCAGGGTCTCACGGCATCAGCCACATCCCCAGCCCCCCAGTTCTTTGGGATATTAGACACATACCTGTGCTCCAGATCAGGCTCCCTGGGACGTGCTCAGCCACGTGGCTCCAGTGTTGCAGGTCAGTCCCTGCTGACGGCCACCAGGCTGTGCTGACGTTCTCCTGTCCGTCCCAGCACACTGACCCGTTTCTCACTCCTCGTTTGTCTCCCCTCACAAGAATGTAATCTCCCCAAGGATAGGAATCTCATCTGTCTTGGTCAGCACCGTGTCTTCAGCACCTAGAACAGTACCCCATGCACAATGGGTCCCCAGTAAATATTTGTGGAATAAACGAACACTCAAACAGGGCCTCTAGGGAACTTCTGTGTGAAAGGGACCCAGTCTGAGTGTCACTGGGGGAAGAACCTGGGCCCAGGTGAGAATCAGGCTGTCTCTTCCTGTGCCTGTCTAGAGTGCCTCATCCAGCTGCCCTCAGCTCCTCTGTCCTGGTGTCCCAGCCTCCCTGGGGTGGTCCCCATTGGCCTGCACCTATTAGGGGCCAAAGGCCATGCCAAGCCCTTGTGTACATGCAGCCCCACAAGGTGGAGATCAGCACCCTCTTTGGGTACATACAAAAGTGGAGGGAGGATCCGAGATGGCAAGGGATGTGCGGAGCTGAGGTCTGAACCAGGTCTCCGTTCAAACCCATGTTCCAGGCCCCTCAGAACTATTTGCCCTCCTGAATGTGATTCTAATGGAAACCTCTGGCTGGGAAGGCTTGGGAACACTCCTGCTGGTGGGGCCGGTGTGAGAGATGTATTTGGGTTAGTGGGCCCTGCCAAGCCCCCTTGGCCTACCCAGCATATGGCTGCCTTCTTCTTCCTCAGCATTAGCCTTTAGAAATAAAGACCAAAATGCTAGAGACATGGACTACAGCTGCAAGTCTGTCAGATCTTTCACTCACAACGGAGGAGTGACAAGGAGAAGAGGCCAGGAGGAGATGCTGTTTTCCAGGCCAAAGAGGAATGAAGCTAAGAGTAGCCCACAATGGCTGATGGGCTTATGGAACAAGTGTGGCTTCCTCCCAGAGACGGTCAGGCCAGGCCAAGCCAGGCATCTGGGTCTGGATGGTTTCTAGTGTTGGGTCGGTTTGGACCAACCAGACACAACAAGTTATATTTTGAGCAAATGAGCTTTTGGAAGTTGAAGCAGCTACAGTCTCTGAAATAGTGACCATCAGTTGCAGGCAGGTGCTCACAGCACTCTTGGCCATGGGTGACATTATCCCTTAACACCTACATCCAGCTGCTTGGTGGGATTGCCAAGGCTCGTTCTCATTCTCATCCCACACTCCGTCTCTTATCCTGAACCATATGCCTTCTTCCTATAAAGCACATCCCTCCTCTCTGGCTTCCTAGTCAACCCCAGGCTGTGATAACCTGTCTCTGCCTCCTTCTCATAAGCAGGCTGATTTCAGACAAGTCACTTGGATGCTTGAATTCCCGCAATTAATTGACTTGCAGGTAGCTTAAAAGTAAAATTTGGGACCAGCAGATGGCGTAATAGTTACGTTGCCGGACTCCCATATATTCGACTGTAGTTCGAGTCCTGGACCTGGCAGTTTGAAACTCATGCTGGATGTGTGTGTGTGTGTGTGTGTGTGTGTGTGTGTGTACGTGTGTGCCCAATATCCCATGAGGAGAGTGGAGGAGAAGGGATTGCAGCGTGACCATTTCCTCGTGGGGTGATTTCTTGCTTTCTGCCTCTCTGTCTCTTTGGCGAGCACACGTGTCCTGTAGCAAAAAAATCTCTCTTAAAAAAGTACAAACTCTGCCCCCTGCTGCTTCCATCCCATAGGACCTCTGTAGGGCAGAGGGGAGTCCCTGACAGAGCTGGGCCAGGAAATTGGACGGGGCCTCTGCCCTGTTCTCAACCTCTGCAGTTTGAAGAAGCCCACGGGTATCTTGGGATCTGAGCTTCCTTCTCTATAAAATGAGGCAGTGGCACCAGGTGATGTTTCTTTTAATATATTTTCAGTTATAGAATTATAGATCCCTTGCTTGATGTAGCTCTCTCTAGCCTCGGCTTCTTTTTCTCAACCATGCATTTGGAGGCAATATTTGGTAAGCAAAAAACAAAAACACTCAAAAATATTTACTGAGTGAATGAAAAAGAGGCATCTTTGACAGGGCCTCCACACGGCCCTCTTCCCCCAGCTATGTAGCCAGCCAGAGTCACAGACACACCTGTGGGCATGGGCAGTGTGTTGAGGCCGACCTGGGACACAAACTTGGAATCTTCCCACATGGCCTTCAGCATCACACAGCAGTGTCCCTGCCTCCTGCACCACTGGGGTTGGGCCAGAACAAAAGCTTATAATGCATAAAGCACAGATGTACATAAATAACCAACAGATATACACTGTATCTGTGGTATGAAAAGTAAAATTTCAGGGGCCGGCAGGTGGCATGGTGGTTAAGGCCGCTGGACTCCCACATGGCTGACCGTAGTTCAAGTCCTGGACCTGGCCGCTTGCTTTCTCACTTTCCATCTTTCTCTCTCTCTCTCCCCCTATCTGGTTAAATTAAAATAAATAAAGTTAAATAAAATAATTTTCTAAAAAAGTAAAATTTTGTATGGGAGTGTAGCTGGACAAAAATATTTACAAAGGCTCTTTAGGGGGACCAAAATTTACAAAATGTTGAGAAATGCTGATTTGACACAAAGGTTTGCTGGGTACCATGACAGGTTCTTCCTGAAAGGTGAACGCCAGCATTTTCTCCTCTCTGGGAGCTGACCCAGAGTGACAATGACCCTTTCTATTTTGTTTCTCCCAAAATACAATCTTAAGTCCTTTCTTCTTAATCTTGCTGAAAGGTCACCTTCCATGGGTTTGTAGATGTGTATGCATATTCTAGTGATCATGGCTTATGTTTTCGTGGTTCTTCTTCCCTCCAGCTACGGCATCGCTGGCTCTACCAATGTGACTGGTGACCAAGTGAAGAAGCTGGATGTCCTCTCCAATGACCTGGTGATAAACATGTTAAAGTCCTCATTTGCCACCTGCGTTCTTGTGTCTGAAGAAGATAAACATGCCATAATAGTAGAACCGGAGAAAAGGGTGGGTCTGCCCTTCCACACTGGAGGGTTTTAATGCAACAATTTTTCTTTCTAGCTTCGTGAATGACTACTTGGTTAGCCAAGCTGGATGCCTGGGAGTTGCCCTAGCTCCCTCCTATCATCTTTTCACAGATGTCACCTCACTATCGTATCTCAGATCTGACCTTCCCCCACCACCATTGGCACTACCACTAGAGTTCATGCTATTGTCATCTCTACCATAGACTCCCATGGACTTGTCTCCAACCTAACACTTTGTTGCCATGTTCAAGGCTCTTTGTCATCTGGCTTCTTCTGGCTCATTTGCTGCAGCTCCGTCCACTGAAATCCCCATCTTTAAACCCTGCTACCAACCTAAATGCTCAAAATTTGTATCACTGATTAGTCCATTGAAATATCTATTGGTCTGGAAGAAAACAAATTATTTTCTTCTCTGTATTCCAGCATCTGACACAATGCCTGTTACATTGTCTGGGCTTAATAGCCAAGGATTCTCAAAACAGACTATCAAATGAACATATTTCTAGCTGTTATTAAAATAACAACTGTAATAAAAAAAAACCTTAAAGATTATAAGTGCAGTTACAAGAATTTGCTGTCATTCCTTGTTTGAAATGAATGGGAACATGAAGTAGAATTAGAAAAGAAAATCATCACAAAGTAAAGAGGTTGCTTGTCTTGACCTTATTAAGAGCTAGAACCACATATCTGATTAGCTTGTTTTACAACATTCCTAATAGCAAAAACAAGCCAGATTCAAAGTTCACACTTTTTCCTTCTTGGCTCTTTAAGGTCTCTGGTAGTTTTAGGTGAATGGGTTGAATTGTTCAAGATCACCCCAAATTTTTCTGACTACAGTATGCCTTCATGGCAGGCACGTTCCCATTTTCCAGCTTACAGTTTCTCCTGTGTCAGTGAGGATGATTTGTTAAGAGCAGAAGGTCATGGAATCATTTTTATCTTGTGGAAAATAGAGAATACCAAAAAAACTACATCTTAAAGTGGCTAATTAGGAGATAGAAAATTCCCAGTGGTGTACTGACTCTCAAAACAGAACAGAACAAAACGAACCCCCCCCCCCAAAAAAAAAAAAAAAAAAAAAACAACTCAACCAACCAACCAAACCAATAAAAAAACCCCTTTGATTTGCAGGGCTTACCAATTTCTATGGTGTAAATACTCTCCCATACTTGATTTTAATCTATCAATATGACAACACTGCTGAAAGCTGGGCTGAATTGTGCATGATCAGCCTGTGAGAGCTGATACCAGCCAGTGCCAGGAGATCACGGGAATCCTGTTCCCAGAATGATGTCTGGTGGTCCTCCTACAACAGAGGGATATTTCCTTTACAAATTACGTTAGGAATATTGTTGAGAATTCTGTGTGCCACATCCTCAAGTAGTGTCTATAAGACCCACATAAGATCTTAATGATAGGGAAGTCTTTGCTTCACCTAAGAAAGTATTTCTTTTTTTCTCCGGCTGCCAGGAAACTCAACAAAATTATGACTGGACCATATCTATGATGCAGGAAATTATGATTTATTTGTATTCCATGATCTTCATCTACACCACATTTCTTTGCTTAATGAATTTTTAGTGCACATATATCTGTACATATTTTTATCCTTTTAAAAATTCTGTATGCTACTTTATCTCTTCTTTGACAAGGTATAAATAGATTAGACCTGTGTTTCTAAAACTTTCCTCTAGATTATTCTCTTTACCCCCATATTATATATTTTCCATCTTGTTGCAATGTATACAAAGTGTACTTAGTGTTTACTCTCTCTCGTTATAATATTTTAAAGTTGTCTTTTCTTTTTTTCTTTGCTCAGGGAAAATATGTGGTCTGTTTTGATCCCCTGGATGGATCTTCTAATATTGATTGCCTTGCATCCATTGGAACTATTTTCGGCATCTATAGAAAGGTAAAATATGATACAGTAAGCATGTGGCTTTGGGTCAAGAGAAAAGTTAAAGTTGAGCGTCTAGTCCTTTCACTGTGGTGAAGCAGCCAGAATGATGAGGGATCTTCAAAAATGTCATGGAAAATACATATTATGTATTTTAATTTTTTTCACCTGCTAAAAGAAAAATAAATCAGCGTATTTAATAGAGTTTTAACAGAGCAAATCTTAACACGATTTAAATTGGACAGTTGTCCCCAGACTTCTGAACAATCAGCAGCCCCGTGGTCAACTTGGCCTTTTAAGTCAACAGAGCAGGAAAGTGAGGTGCGTAGTAAAAGGAAAGTGTTGTACACAGAACGTAAGTGAGGGGGTGAGGTAGAGAAATCATTGGTTACATTTTGAATTTTGTCTATTAACACAATTTAAAAGGTGGAATACCTGTGACTGACTGAAGCCTAGCTGCTGTGATTGGCTCTAACGTAGGAACCAGCTCAGAAAAACAGCCTAACCTGTATGATTTTGGCTCATCTATAGGAATTAAAATGTGGGAATACAGCAGCTGTTTGAGGCCAAAATAGTTTAATTTAACAATTTCCCCCCTTTTGGTCAGCCTCTGAAATATTTGAGTGATTGATCAAAACTTAGGGCATTTGTGCTACTCTCTGTTACCATCATAAATGACGTGTTTTGTTTCATTTGTTTTTTAGCATAGAAATTAGAAGGTTTTTTTGGCTTCTAGCATGAAATTTACAGGCCACGATATTATACAAGTTGGATCTGATGTCATACAGGTCAACAGGTCTTTTTTTGAGTTTTTATGGATCTGATTGAAATAAGACTATTTAGAGGGATGGCTGCGTGTGAAGCATTTAAGGCTTGAGGGGCTAGGGCACACCAGGAGGACTAATGTGACGACTGAGGCGTACCCCTTAACAGGAGTTTTATGAAACACGCTGAAATGAATTTAAACAGGTTAAGGTTTAGGCTAAATAGTTAATTTAACAGTATTGAGCTTAGTTGTCTAGAGTGTGATGATAATTGAGGACTATAGATTTTTGTAAAATGTCCTGATTAGAAAGGTATTTATCTTTGTTGTTATATAGTTAATTTAACAGTATTTGAGCTTAGTTGTCTAGAGTGTGACGATAATTGAGGACTATAGATTTTTGTAACATGACCTGATTAGAAAGGTATTTATCTTTGTTGTTAGTCTGGCGATATAAGTTATAACAACTTAGAGGCCTATTGGGAGAAATATAAAGATTAAAAAAACCTTGAAAAGCACAAGCTTGTCATTCACCATTTAGGATAAATATAAACTGGCTCTTTCTTGTACCTGTAAACACATTATTTGTTTTTTAGTTTTGAGAGACTTTTTTAGTATATTTGATGGCTGAGTCCAAGGAAGCAGCAGTATCAGTCACTTCTTTAATTAAACTTTTTTGGTATTAAAGTCAGGAGACAGGTAGGTACAGTTGCAACTGAGCCTCTGATTCTTCTTCTTAGCGGAAGAAGGGCATTAGTTCAGGTGAATTCTATTCCAGGATACACAGGTCACCATTGAAGTAGACAGACCGCATATTTACACTTTATTTCTAAAGGTGGCTTACTGTCCATAATTCCTTTCATAGGAAAAGTGGAACCACCATGGAGAATTCATGTCTGGTCATCGGGATGTATTTGGCTTGCCCCTTGGGTAAGGGGTAGATTCGCAACAAAGACAATTTGAGTCCTGTAATTCTGATTTTCATACCAAAAACACAGGCCAACAGTTCTCCTGTTTTCCAAGACATGAACCACCATGGAGAATTCATGTCTGGTCATCGGGATGTATTTGGCTTGCCCCTTGGGTAAGGGGGAGATTTGCAACAAAAACAATTTGAGTCCTACAATTCTGATTTTCATACCAAAAACACAAAGGCCAACAGTTCTCCTGTTTTCCAAGACATGCCTTGAAACAGCATTTCTGTTACAGATACAGACAGATATTTTCCCTGCTGAGTGTCAGATCTGTAGGACAGTAGAGAGGGTTATAGCTAACATCTGTCATGTGGAGAAAGACCTCTGGTTAATGATGTAACCAAAATTAAAGCAACACTGATGTTTGCCCGCCCTGTTCTTCACCTTGTCTGCCCCAATAAACTCATTTAAGAAAAAAACGCCCTTAGAAGATTGAGAGACATTGGCTGTCAACTAAAGAAACAAAACAAAACGAAGCAAATCAATCTAATTTGCAACAGCAGCTTGAATTACATGCACTACAACAGCTCAATGATTTGTATCTACTCTTTTTTAGTAAACTGAAATTACTTTTTTTTTTTTTTTTGTAAAGAGAAGAGATAGAGAGAGAGACGCCCCTAAATGGGGCATCTTGTTGTAATCCAACCCCAGCTTCAGGCAACCAGGTTCATGGGTTCACACACAGGGAGGCCTTGGGATGTGAACCTGGAACCTTCTCATGTGTCTTCAGCTTCGTGGAGTGGTGTGTTGCTGCTGTCCTACCTCAGCTGGCCTGGAGTGATTCTCTTAAAGGGTTGAGAGAGATGATGAGTGTGACACATTCTGAGACATTTCAGTTTTCAAAAGTCTTAATGATTATTTGAAATCATTTGAGAGTGTATGTGGCATAAACATCGACGTGTCCCATGCTTCCAAACAGACTTTTCCTGCTTTTTGCAGAGATGGTTTTTGGCTAGAGTGTGATTTTTCTGGTGCATGTGTATTAGTAACTGGAGCCTCAAAACAGTGACCAGGGTTTGCCCTGTGATGCTTGGAAACAGACTCAACAGGGACATCAGTGGGATGTGGCCCTGTTTTATGCAGCTCTTGTTGCAGTATCTTCTGATGAGTTGCCCCATTCCTGGCCTGACAGCCACAAGGGATAGATTTTCCTGATGTGTTAGGCAACCACACAGAGTGTTTGTCTACATTTGAGTTAAAATCTACCTCGTGATTGCTCATTGGACACTTTAGAGCATCAGAAAATAAGATTCTTTTACATGTGTAGAAATAGCTTTCCTTCCCTCCCAACCCCCTCTTTTTTTCTTTTTTTCTTTTGTAGTCTTTGTATGAGATAGTTTTGGGGCTTCTCTCTAGCTGGGACATCCTTTCCTGGACACACTCTAATCTGCAATGGCCTTTAAAAATATCCAACCCCATTACTAGAAGCAGAGTGTCAAAGGGAGGGTTGCCCTGCTGGGGAAGACCTCTAGTAACATGGCAGTGCCCGCCCGCGCCCCCCCCCCCCCCCCACCTTACCCACTTAAGTTTGACTTTCTCTTCCAAGACCTCAAGTCAACAGAATCCACGGACTCTTCCCCTATCCTTTTTATGGGGTGCAATCAAACAGAAACCACTACCTACAGCAGGTGGTAGCCTCAGATTAGTAGAGAATGGTGAGGGCCAGGCACTTTCTAATTTTCCAAGTGCTTGATGCCTGTAGATCCCTGGGGCTCTGTAAGAGAATGGAATGGATTCCTTTGGCAGGAAGGCTTTCATTATTTGGGGTTTGGAGGAAGTTTCATGCATTAGAAAGGCACCTCTCCCATACTCACACCCCTATGCCTAGAAAACAATTCTTTCAAATCCATGATTCTTTGTTTTTATGGGGTGCAATCAAACAGAAACCACTACCTACAGCAGGTGGTAGCCTCAGATTAGTAGAGAATGGTGAGGGCCAGGCACTTTCTAATTTTCCAAGTGCTTGATGCCTGTAGATCCCTGGGGCTCTGTAAGAGAATGGAATGGATTCCTTTGGCAGGAAGGCTTTCATTATTTGGGGTTTGGAGGAAGTTTCATGCATTAGAAAGGCACCTCTCCCATACTCACACCCCTACACCTAGAAAATAATTCTTTCAAATCCATGATTCTTTGGAACTATTTTCTCTTTCCTTTGAGTGTGTAGGTCATAGACAAGTGTTACTATTTCTTACTCCCTGCGAGGAAGAGAAAGTAGAAGAGCTTTTGGTGACAGTATTTCTGGGAATGTCTGTTTACTTTGGCATCTTGGCCACAGGCCGATGTGGATGGTCTGGGCCAGGTGCATTCCCCGAGGACTTTAGGTACAGAACTGGTTAGTCACACTTTCCTGGAGGTGGGGATAGTTACAGGCCTGAGTCTTTCCACTTTGCCGCTGGCTTCCAAGGAGGCTGGTAGTTGTTTAAATGACCCTCAGACAGGTGGTCCATATTGACAAAGGCCATTCATTTCCTTTCTCCGAAGTTGTGCCTTGGCAAAATTTGGAGTAAGGGAAAACAACTCGGATTTCCGATCCAATGTTTAGTCTGTGTTTAGCTGCATGTGTTATCTGGTGAACACAAAACAAGCTAGTGAGATATTGCAATCCGACTCAACCAATTAACCAATTGGCCACCCAGATGAAAACCACGGGGAGCAGGGGTGGGGAGGGCAAGGAGAGAAATGGCCTTTGTGAGTACTCCTTCTACGTGAGTGGTTCTTAGGTTTTAGTGCAGGAGTCACCTATGGGGCTTGGCAGAATGCAGGTTCCCAGGACCCACCATAGACAGTTGGACATAGCACAGCTAAGATGCAACCCCAGAAAATGTGTTTTCAGTAAGTATCCCAGGTAATTCTGATGAGGATGTTCCAGGGTTCATGCTTTTGAAAGTTATAGAACAAGTTACCTGGAAAGTTTCTGGCTGGGATGTTTCTCCCTCCCTGGCACACAGTCGAGACGCTCTCATCGTCAGCTGCGAGACGCTCTCATCGTCAGCTGCTGGAATTTTTGATTAGGGATGGAATAAATGAAACGGGGGAAACTGCCTATTTTCATTTCTGCTTAAAATCAAGTAGTGAGTATTCAAGCTGAAGGATTTGTGTGAGTGCTGTTTCAAGGACTGGAGAAACTGATCAAATGTTGTAATAGAGAAGATAATTATCAGTCATCGATTATTGTTGGGGAGTCATCTGCTTAAGGTGTTTCCTTCTCTAGTATTAGACAAGCTGTGGCCCACACGACCCAATGGGCTGTGTTTTTAAGGACAAAAACACCACAATTTGAAGTACAGGTCATATTCTAGAAGTAGGTATTGTTTTGTTAGATTTTTGTTGTGTGCATGTGTGCCTGTGGATCGGCACTTGGGCCAGCATTGTAGTCTAGTGGTTAGGGAACCCAGCTCCCACGTGGCTGACCATGGTTTAAGTCTTGGTCCTGGTGGCTTGAAAAACACACAGGACACATGTGCATTCATGCCCCAAATCCTGACAGGATGGAAAAATGGAGAAGAGGAGATTACGGCATGAGCATGCTCCATTGTGGGGTTCTTCCTTTTTCCCCATCTCTCTGTCTCTCTGACAAGTGCATGCACTGTCTGGGAGAAAAAAAATTAAAAAAATTGTGTTTCTTATTGTGAGTCATGGTCAAAAAATGGAATTTCTGTCCTGCCCTGACATGACACTGGGGAGATATCTTGTTTCTGTCTTTCTGAGAATTTCTTGGCTTCGTTAGTGAGGTGGACCACACTGCCCAATGAGGTATGTGCTGTAACTGGCAAGAGTTCACAAAATTGATTTCCTCTGCAGACTCACTGCCCTGCAGCCTTGTGTTAATTTGTTTAAATAAAGATGGAGGAGGCAGGTGAAAGACGTTGATGCCCGTAATAATATTAAATTAGTGGGAACTGGCAAGAAGGTCTGTTCCTTTTTGGAAGCGATAGTGGAGAAGGGAGGGAATATCACATTAGAATAATGGGAGGAAGACACTGATTGGAAAGAAGGATCCAGATGCAGGAAATCTGGGGTCTGGTAGGAGGGCTGCTGTGCTAATACAATCAGTCGATTACTGCTTATGGAGGAAAGCCCCTCTGGGAAGACGCCCTATTGCATTAGAAGAGCACCTTGAGGATGCATTCTGTTAATGGCTGAATTGGAAAAAGAACCACAAAACAAAACAAAAACACACTTCGCTTTCTCCCTTGCTCTAGACATCAACTGGTGAACCTTCTGAGAAGGACGCACTGCAGCCAGGCCGGAACCTGGTGGCGGCCGGCTACGCGCTCTATGGCAGTGCCACCATGCTGGTCCTCGCGATGGAGTGTGGTGTCAACTGCTTCATGCTGGATCCGGTGAGAGATCTCGTAGGAGACGGGGTGCTTGGCTAGCAGCTGTGAGTGATGTGTGTCATGTGTGTGGGAGGTGTGGGCGAGAGGAGATGGCGGCCATGGAGGGACAGAGATGGCGGTGTAAGTTGGGAGAGAGGAAGGAGAAGAGGACAATGTGTTCATCATGAAAAGGTTATGGAGGTGAGAAATATTTATTGATTTAATCTATTTTATATATTTAATCGCTGTTCATCACTACAGCTTGTAAAATGAATTTTCCCAGCACAAATACACTGCACCCCAATCCAGGTAAAGATACTACCATGCATGTTACCAGCAACAGACAATTCTCCATTTCTGGGAACTTTAAAATCTCTTACCTCTCCATTTTTCTCCTTGAGAAATGTTAACTGTCAAGAGCACAGAGAGAGTCTTTGTTCCAAGATGAATTCTTGGGAACAGCCATTACTCACGAGACTCCAATGCACACCGAGTCTAGCAGGACGTATAAGGAAGGAACTTGCTGGGAAGGGGAGGCCAGGGTAGTGTGGGGACTGGACTGAGGGGAAGAGGGCCAGCAGTTGTTGCTACCTGGGAATTGGGACCCAGTTTAGGCAAGGCTTCCATAGTTTTAAGAAACACTGGATTTGGCCCAGTTTTGTTGGTGCAAATAAGCCACATGGCCAGCACACGCCCTGACCCATGGTCCTGGTCAACCTGAAACATACCGGGCATGGGCACACCCAAGATCCTGAAGAGCCAGAGGGCTGGGGGAAGGGGGTCATGGTGTGATGAGACCCTACTCAGATGCCTTTCTCCCTCCTCCTTGTGCACACACATGTGTTATTGCCAGGGCCAGCTCAGCTGAACACTGTTTTCTGAGTGGGGAAGGCTGATAGATGTAATAACAAACATACAAAGACACACAGGTAAAGAAAAAAGCAAGGATTGGTGGGCCTAGCTTCTCTGATGGAAAAGTCGTGACCTGGAACCGGCCTCAGGTTTACTGTTTTAAAGGGCAGAAAATGAGGGAACCAGCAGTTAGCGTAATGGCTATGTCGCTGGACTCCCACGTAGTCGACCGCGGTTCGTGTCCCGGACCCGGTGGCTTAGAACTCACGCCGGGCGCGTGTGCGTGCGTGCCCAAGATCCCGAGAGGAGAATGGAGGAGAAGGGATTGTGGCGTGACCATCCCCCCTGGGGGGTGATTTCTCGCTTTCTGTCTCTCTGTCTCTCTCTGTCTGTCTGGTGAGCGCACATGCCCTACAACAGTGAAAATCTCTCAAAAAAAAAGGGCAGAAAATGAGGGAAGAGGAAATGGGATGCAAAGCCAGTTGTTTTTGGATATAAGTTGTCTGAAGATGTGAAAATGACTGGCACCATTTAACTTCTATGATCTTTTTGGGGGACAATCTGACAAACACATGTGACTTCCTTTAGCCTCATAGTGCCACGCAGTATCGGGTATCAACAACAGCAGGAAGATGACTGACAACAACAGGCAGATAGCGCTTTCGTATGTAGGTGCTTCTCAATAGCCATTGCTAGAGCAGCTCATGGAGGCGCATTTCAGCATGCGTCTAAAGGTCACGTTTTCTCAGACTGGCTGCTCTCCACATGCTATCATTGTCGGACCTGCCGACCACGAACAGTTTCTGAGTTGGACGGTGAGGATTAAAGACAGATAAGAAGACAGGATAGAAACAGGAGGCCTGCCAGTCAATACTAGTCAACACCGAATGTACTTTATTGCTAGTATTTATACACCCTCCAGAGAATTCTGTGATGTAAGGGTTTAAGTCTTTATTGAATTTATCTGGTCATTATAACAATACGTGGGAACATTCAGTTCAAAACAATCCCAAGACGTTCTGCTCGTAACAATCCAGCCACCCATGGCCATGTCCAGATAAAGGCCCTGGTCTTATTCTGGTGGTCACGTCCTGCACAGTCCTCACATCTCCTCTTTGGCTCCCCACATCTCCCCCTCTTTTGTTTATTAAATGATCCACCACTTCTGACGGGCAGTAGGCTGTGGCTGTCTTAGGTTGTCCTTGGTGACATTTTCTCTTACCCGTCATCAGGTAATGCATATTTGCACACACCCCCTGTCTTAGGTTGAGAAACATCCCAAGGATCTTACCCGTCATTGACTACCAGCCTCTGCATCTAATGCCTTGGCTTCAAGTTTTAGCCAATGGATTTCAGAGCGAACTCCAAGAAAGGAGCACCCAAGTATTTGCACAAGGCAGGGGGCACAGCAAAGCAACACAAGACCAATACCTGCTGCCATAACGGCAGGCATTAACCACTGCTGCCAAGGGGGCCAGTGTGGTAGGAGACCATGCAGTTGTTGCAGCAATTGATTTGCTTCCTGTGCTGCATTAAAGGAGAGGAACATGACTTCTCTATCTCTAAGATCTCTCGATGGAGTGTAAGAATATCTATTGTTTCACTGGCCCCACGACAGACACCTTGTAAATGTTTTTTGACCTTTTCTCAATCATCTTGGCTTTCATTATAGATTTTAGGGGTGACACAAATCCATTGGTACAATGCATGACGTCGAACAGAAGAGCACACATGCAACCCATAGACCCGGTTTCCCAGATGTATGACAGTATCATAAAAGCGCATCCAATTTGTGTTGGATTTTTCCATCAGTAGTTTCTTGAGTGTGTAAAGCTATGAAAATATTTTTTGTTACATTATCCACAAAACCAGCTGTTTGTACTGTCTGGGGTTTTTACATTGTAAGTTTTAAGCATAGCCATTTTTTAGAGATCCTGATAGCTGACCATTTACTAGAGAGATCTTTCCCAGTAAACTTAAATAATTAAATCAATGCCAGTGCTCTCAGCTGTAGCATGAATGCAGTCATGAATTTCTGGACCATTTGTTTGGAGCTCTCATCTGTTACTGTGTGGGATTGGGATGAGGGTGAGACCTCCTTGGGTCTACTTAGACTGTGTGTTAGCACTGAGTAGTGCGGCCCATTGTTTTATGGCCACCTCAGATACCATCTGTTTTATATATATACACACCTTTTCATGACATCTTTCTAATTCTTTACAATTCCCTCTCAGACCTTCTCCAACATAACTCAAACCTTTTCTAACATGCTTTATTCTTTGATTGTCCCTTTTTACTTTTTTCATTCTGTAAATAATCCAGCCATCTTACTTTAGAACAAAAATTTTATCATACAATATTCCTTTAATATTGAAATGTTCTCTTTCTTTTTAACTTTTTCTACCACAAATATCTATATCTGTCTTTCCATAATAAGGTCTGATTGTCCAGGCGATTTTCTTTGGCACAAGGGGGAAGGTCCTGGGGTTGTGTGGCATTAACAGAGTTGTTTTTTGGTCAAGGAGCCATCATACGAACCATCTGATTCCCTCTGGAAATAGTCCTGCCCAGTAGATTTCTGCTTCAATGAGTGTCACCATCTTCAGGCAGATCCATAGGCACAACATCTTCCTGGTCTTTCGGGGTGTCCATAAACTGCACCAAACGTTCTGGAAGCCAGCGAGCTCCATCATCGTCCTGTGAAAAAACACAAACATGTTCTTGACCCCGTATCAACACAGGGTCGGGCCCATTCCATGATCCTGTTAAAGGATCTTTCCGAATGACTGTGGTATAATGAGATTGTGTTTTGGAATGCCAAAATCGTTCAGCTGCGCTAGATCCTTGTTTGTCCACATTTAAAAAATTAAGTACAAATAAGGCATGTTTTAAATAATTATGTGGTGTCAGAGGAAGAGAATGTTCAGCTTGTTGTAAGTGTGTAAATGTTATGAGACAGGTACCAACATCAGCCAGGGGATTATCTATAATTGTGATAGCTCCAGCAAAATAGGGTAGGCTGTCTTTTCCTGACTGAGCTATTACAGGATGTCTGTTAACATCATACTGAGCTGCCTCTCGCTCAATCTGTTCTAGCTCCTTAGGGGTTAACTCCTCATCTTTCAATTGACTGGGGGAAGTGGGGGGCGGAGTCTCCTATCAACTTCTCCTGCAAGGGAGGAGCAGAGGGAGAAATTCCAACAGCCCTGGGAGAGTCTTTATCCATGGTGGGAAGAATCCTCTCCCACTTGTGAAAATCCAAAACATCTCTAATTAAAGCCCATAAACTAAAAGCATCCACAGGCACGTTTTCCGGACCATGGGCATCATAATAATCTTGAAGCCTTTGCTCCACCTTCCTCCAGGTATCTATGTGGACAGTACCTTCCTCAGGAAACCAAGGACAAACTTCTTCAATAAATTCTAAAAATTTTGAAAGCTGCTGCTGCCCTACCCGCAAGCCTTGTGCACTTAGCATTTCTTTAAGCATATGTACAAAGAGCTGGCGACTATTGCCCTGCCCCACAATTACTCCCGTAATACCACAACACTTCCACTTTTAAGACGAATGCGTTCTCCTTTTATTCTTTGTGGTGTCCTTCACTGGTATCCCCAGTACTCAGGTCTCTGAAAAAAAAAAAAAATGCCTCCAGGGTTAGCTGGTGGTGTGATGATTAAGGTGGCTGAATCCCACATGGCCGACTCTTGGACCTGGTGGCTTAAAAACTATGCTGGGTGCATGTGTGCCCAAAATCCCAAGAGGAGCGTGGAGGAGAAGGGATTGTGGTGTGGCCTTCCCCTTGGGAATGCTTTCTTACTTTCCCTCTCATTATAGTGCATGAAAGCTATAGCAAATTAAAAAAAAAAAAAGCCCTTGGATTTATTTGATGTTTTGTACATTCACACAAGCCCTCAGCTAACCCTTGGAGTTTTGTTTCAACTTCAATGAGCTCAAAGGAATGAACGTAAAGAAGGGGATGAAGTTAATTCCTTCATCTGCGTTAGAGAGAAAAGTTACTTTGCACAGAGGAGACTTTGGTGCCCTGAACAAGGTTTATTAACAGTTTTAATTTGTGGCTAATTTCTTCCTCATGCTCATTAATTTGAGTTATTTATGCAAATAAATGACAGTTTCAATAGAGAAGGTAAACCAGGGGAGGGAGGGAGTCTGTTTATATATTTGGCTGCTGGCCAGTCAGATGGTGTGGTGGTTGAGGCAGCTAAATCCAACCTGCCAACTCTGTGGTTGGAGTCCTGGACCTGGTAGCTTCAGAAACGTGCTGGGTGCATGTGCATGTGTGCCCAGGAACCCCAGAGAGAATGGAGAAGGGCTGTTGATATGGTCATCCTCCCTGAGGATGAATTCTCACTTTCTCTTCTCTCTCTCTTTCCAGTGAGTGCACATGCCCTATGGCAAAATCTAAAATAAAAATAAATATATAGTTCAACAAAACCCATCATTGAAATATAGATTTTGAAGAATAATCTTCAGTACCTTGGCATGTTCTTAATGTGTTAGGTCTAGGGCCCTAGGGGGAAAAATGGATTTATAAATAACTTTTAAAAAATGTGTATTTATTCCATGAGTAAGGTGGGGGTGAGAGAGAGAGAGAGAAAATTTCCAACAGGGTGCACAATCCTCAATCTACCCCAATTTCCAACCTCACTATCCCTGGATGATGGGCATGCATGTGCCTGGACTTCTCAGGGAGGATTCTGGACGTGAACCTAGAACCTTCCAATATGAGTCTGCCTCAGAATGTCAGGCTTTACTGCTGTTTCTACTGTCTGGCTCCTAAAACTTTTAATTTTAGAAGTGTCCTCATATAACTATAATTTAACACTTTATTTATATGGCGCCTTTTACTAATGAACACAAAGCACAATGAACTGGAACCTTCTGAGAGACAGATTGCTGCTGTGAGGCCGTGGGTCTGCGTGTGCTGTGGGTGGTAGAAATCAGAACGCAGGCTACCCTTATCCCTTGCACTGTTACAGAACTGGACTTTCACCTGCCTGGAAGTAGGTGTGCTTAATAAACAAGCAAGGGCAGGGTAATAGCACGTTTTGATGCCTTGGAATGAGGGGTCCGGGGAAGGCTGTGGCAGAGCCTGAGCAAAGTTCAACCTGAGCTCAGCACAGTTTCTGAAATCACTGCCGTTTGCTGATATAATGCCCCATCAGACTTTTTACTGCTTCCCCAGACATTTTTCTGCTGCCTCCTGTTAACTTTGAGCTGATAGACAGGGAGAAATATTAAATCTCTCTCTTTTTTATTTAACTTATTTTTTTGATAGAAAGCACATGTGCTTGCCAGAGAGAGAAAAGGAAAGTGAGAAAGCACCCCCCACCGGGCATGGTCATGCTGCACACAGGCTCAGGGTGTTTTTCAAGCTGTTGGGTCTGGGACCTGAATGGTGTGTCCAACCATGTGGGGATCTAGCTGCCTTAACCACCAGGTCTGGAAGCTGGCCTGAGTCTCTTCCTTTTGACAGATAATAATTTTAATTGTAATTTCTAATTAATGTATAATAGTTGAATATTTTTGTGGAGTACAGTTTAAATTTCATCTCATTTCTTTAAATCACTCCAGATTACAGACAGATGTCTCCAAAGAGCAACATTCTGTGTATTTGGCGTCCTTTGCCCTCGTTAGACCTAAGTGTGTGAGAGCAGTGCAGGCCTGCTGCCCGACCCCTGGGGGTTGCTACCTTTTGATTTGTTTAGATATTCTGGTCAGTGCTGCTTGAGGGGGCATGAGCCTCTTACCAGGAAGATGCCACGTGCCTCCCATCTGGTCTGGCTGGCTGCAAGGACAGGCGGAGGGTTTCTGAAACCACCATGATAGTTAAAACCTTGAACAAGCTTTTCCATCTCCTGTTTCTGTACACAGGAGCCTTTCCTCCTTCGCACCTTGCGCTGTGGCAGGGTCTAGGAGGTGTGGCTCCCTGAGCTCTGTGGACAGCACCTGTTGTGAGGTGGCTTTCTTTCCTAGATGATTTTGTTTTACTGATTATGAAAGAATATTCCTATGCTATATTTGTGGTCAACGTTTTTAGAAATACAAAAAAATAAAAGCATGAGGACATTTGGGGGAGGGACACGGAGGCAAAGCATTAATGGCACAAAGAGGTGTGGTATTATCTGTTGAAGATATTGTGTCATCTGCTGGTCCCTGGGCACATGATGCTTATTCTCACTCAGTGCTAGGGAGAAATGTTCACCTGTTGAAATATCCATTTTGTAAGACAAATAATAATGTGATCGAATGTATGGAAGAAAATGAAATAAAAAAAAATTCTTCCAAAAAAAAAAAGAAAGTAAAAAAGAAGAATCACTCCCAATAATACCTTTCAATGACCACTGTTAATTTTAGTCTCCTTTTCCTTCCTTCTCTCCCTTCTTCCCTTCCTTCTCTTCTCTTCTCTTCTCCTTCCTTCATTCCTTCCTTCCTTCATTCCTTCCTTCCTTCCTTCCCTCCCTCCCTCCCTCCCTTGCTTTCTTCCTTTGTAGTTTCAGCATACTCCTCTAAATCATCAGGAACCAATCTTTGCTGTGGACATAAATGGCTGGGCTCCCTTAGTCTCAACTGTTCCCTCAATAGGGCACCCCATTCCCCAGATGGGCATAGCCGCAGTCGCCAAGTTACCAGGGGCACTTTGAGCCCACGTTCCTTCGAAGAACCTAAACTCTAAAGGCATAAGGTCAGCCCTGGGGCTCTGTGGGAGAAGGCATTCCTAGAAAATATTTACCCATCTGTGAGTAAAGGTATTTAAAATTCAGTATGCTAGGGACTTAAGACTCAGGGTTCTACTTTGATCTATATACAGAAACACCAAAGGAAGTTTATATCAAGGTGGGAAGTGAAACCAAGAACAACCATGAGCACCGTGACTCTGCAGTTGACATATCCAGATATCCCACCTCCTGGCACTACCTTTTACTTAAAACTCTTTTTTCTTCTTTTGATGATAAAGGCATCCATATTTTATATTGCTTTGGACACACAATTCTTCTTCTTTTTAAAAATTTTTTCTTAAGATTTTTGCTATAGGGTGTGTGAGTTCACCAGAGGGACAGAAACAGAGACAGAAAGTGAGGAGGTCCCCCCTACCCCGGGAGGATGGCCATGCTGCAATCCCTTCTCCTCCATTCTCCTCTTGGGACTTTGGGCACACACAGACATGCAGCAGTATGAGTTTTAAGCCACTGGGTCCAGGACTCGAACTGTTGTTGACGGCGTGGGAGTCCAGTGATGTAACTATTGTGTCATCTGCTGGTCCCTGGGCACACGATGCTTATTCTCACTCAGGCTTTATGGTTGTTTTTGTCATTTCTACTCTGCCTGTTTCTGTTTGGTTTCTTTCTTGTGTTACTGAAATCATTAGCAAACAAAATCGATGGCTTCTGCAGCATCCTCTTGTCCCCTCCCCTCCATTTCCTTTGAGCTTGTTCTCATCACTCACTTTTCCCTTGCTCCATTCACAATTCGTTGGGAGCTGGCACCAATCCCTGGGGACCCACAGGAAGTGTGACCGTGGACTACGCACTCCCAGCCCAGCCACGGAAGGCCTTGCCCAGGCCTGAGGAGACACCTCACTAGGTCTCTACTTTTCCTCCTTTATTTCAAAGGCCATTGGAGAGTTCATTTTGGTGGACAAGGATGTGAAGATCAAAAACAAAGGTAACATCTACAGCCTGAACGAGGGCTATGCCAAGGAATTCGACCCTGCTGTCACCGAGTACATTCAGAGGAAAAAGTTCCCCCCAGTAAGTGAGGGCTGGGACGGGACTGGTGCCGTGTCCGGCGTCTGGCACAGGGGCAGCTCTGAGGGAGGGTCTCTCAGAGGAAAAGGAAGCCTGGGGACTGAGAGGGGCCTTGGTCCTCTTTTGGGGTTCTTGAGTTGTGTGAAAATCTATTGATTTATGATTTTCCCTGGAGGCCAAAAGGAGCACAGATGTGAGTAGACTGGATTTCAGTCTGCATGGACGCCATGATTCTGTTCTCACTGAGGGGCTGCTCTGCCAGAGTGTCCATTTCAGCTTTTGCCACTTTCTCTTGTTAGAGAAAACCAGATTATAAATTCTACCCCATGAATGAGTTCAGGGCAGTAACACATTTTCCCTAGTGGGGTCCATGGTCCTAGATGGTATAGAAGGTGGCTCTCTCACTCAGTCTCCTGCCATGTGGTTTCTGTCTCCCTTAGTCCCCCACACGCTGCAAGGGACTTCAAGTTATCTCAAGGCTGAGAGTGCTCTTCATCTTGGAGTCTCTCTAAAGAGGTTATAAATTAGTGTCCATGGAGGGAAGAAATGGCAGTTTGTAGAACTGGCTGTATGTGAGAATATCTGCCTTTGTGTTGACAGTTGCTGTTTTCTGAGGATGAAGCCCTAATGTTAGCATGACATTCAGGCTCTCAGAGCTGCCCCAGCCCCTCTGTCCAGCTTAATTATCTCTCCTCTCTCCTTCCCCTCCCACCTCCAGTGCCTGCACACATGCGCTCTGCCAGGCCCAGGGTCAGCGCCTCGCTATGTTGCTAAGTCTTTGTGCAGTTCCCTCCCCCATATGAAACATATATCCCCACTCCGCCTAGCTCCTGGCTTGGCAAAATCCTTTCCGACCTTCAAGGTCCTGCTACACGCTAGTTTTTCTGCGATGCCTGCCCCATTCCCATAGCCGGAATCAGCCACACCCTTCTCGTAGCTTACATAGTTGGTGCTCTATTGTGAGACATGCAAGGAGTCTTCAGAAAATTCATGGAACATGCACATTATGAAAAGAACTATGCATAGATTTCAACATTTTTGCACCAAAAATAAATTTGCACTTTAATTTCATTTTTCCATAAACCTTTGGAAGTGCCCTCCTGTAAGTGACTGTCCCCATGAATGAATTTTCTGCTTTTTGACAACAGGATTTTCATTGCATTTCTGAGCACAGCCCCATACACATCCCTTCGCGGGGGCTCTGTAAATGATTGTGGGATCAAATAAGCAAAGGGAACACAAGGCAAGTTTCTTTTCTTTACTTTCTGTGCCCCTAATTATTGCTGTCCTTCACCCTGCAGGATAATTCAGCCCCCTATGGTGCTCGGTATGTGGGCTCCATGGTAGCAGATGTCCACCGCACCCTGGTCTATGGGGGAATCTTTCTGTATCCGGCTAACAAGAAGAGCCCTAACGGGAAGGTAAGCACATCTGAAAACTGAATGAGAAGTCACAGAATTCATTTTCAGCCTGAGGGACCTGACTTTGTTAGGAAGAAAGAAAGGCTGGGATGGTTGTGATGCTCCACAGTTGCTTGCTAAGGAAGATCGTGGCTTGTTCTTTTCTAGATTAATAGTCAAGTAGGGCGATATCAACTAAAAATGAAAATGGTCTCTGTGAGCCCTTCCAATGCTACAGCAAAAGAGAACTAATGGCCAGGAGTGGCTAAGAGTGTGCGGAGCTCCCAGCAGGTGTGCAGGTTAGCATAGGCCAAATGAAGGCCATTCGTAGAGCATGACGGCCCAGCCTCGTCACTAAGGCAGCAAATCAAATATGTACTCCAAACAGAGGCCTTCTATGATTGCTTTTTTTTGGGTTGATTTTTTTTTAATGATTCTATTAGCAATATATTTTTAAAATCTGCCCTTTAGTACCTCAAACGAGAGAGCAAAATTGTGGTTTCTGATTGCTTTCAAAAGGCATAAAAGAGAAATAACTATTTCCCAAGAGCTGACATTTGCTATTTGGAAAATAATACATATTAGGGAAGAAAAGAATCTCTGGAGATGCCCGGAGATTTCAGGTGAGCTGTTACCACAGACTGTGCCGGCAAGCCAGAGGGTGCCTGGTCCTTCTTGAGCTGGGCAAGGGACACTCTAGTTTTCTTCTAGACAGGGTAACAATGTGCTTCCTCGGACGGTATTGTCCTCTTTATTTTTCCTGATGGAAAGATCATTTTATTTTCCCCATATGAAAGAAGGTATACTAAAAATAATCCCTCTAAAAGAGTTAGAAATCTATGCATTTGGATGCATTCACATCTGTGCATATAATATATCATTTCCAGTTTGCTGAAGGCATTCTTATTTACTTAAATGCCATTCTTGCTGCAGCCACCTTAGGTATCCCAACCTATGTGACTAGGCTACCTTAGAGAACTTTCCTCATGCCTCAAAAAACAATTTCTTAACATAAATATTGAGGCTCCTCCTTTACTCAATTTTTCAAATCTGGCCGTGACAATTATATAGAAATAGAGTCAGGAAACACCTGCAGGGAGCTGCCTGCTCCGAAGGCGGACTGCATGAAAATGCATACGATGAGAATGTTAATATCTGGAAGTCAGTGCCAAGACGTGTAATATGCTAAGTCCCAACCCTCGAGCCCTGGGAGAATCGTAAAAGGAGCGTGTACAGAGCTCAGACAATATCACACTGTTTGGAGGAGCCGGTCTGCTCTCCAGATGTCTGCAGCCAGACACTGCCATGGATTTTGTGCTTTTAAAACAGGCAAAGCTCCATCCAAAACACACCCAGAGTCACTCATTATGCCCCACTCCTGTGCTATGAAGAGAAGGGAACGGCTGCTTCTGCCAAAATGTCATTCTGTCCTGAATCCAGGTGGTCTGTCTCACAGTTGCATCAGGGAATCTATTGCCGGCTCTGGCTTGACGAATGGTTTAATTTAACCAGGTGGCTAATCATTTTGTCTCACTTGCAACCTGGGGTGGGAGGGAACTTTTGCAACTTCAGAGATGAAAATTAGAGCACCAGTTACCTAGGAAATCCCCACCAGCTCTGAGCTGTTTTGCTGTAGATCTAGCCCCACTCTGTGTAAGACCTCTGTAATGAGGACGCTGCTCTCGGGTTTTCTTTTCCAGCTGAGACTACTGTACGAGTGTAACCCAATGGCCTTCATCATGGAGAAGGCAGGAGGACTGGCCACCACTGGAAATCAAGCTGTGCTGGACATCGTTCCCACCGACATCCACCAGAGGGCGCCAGTCATCCTGGGGTCCCCCAGCGACGTGAAGGAGTTCCTGGAGATATATAAGAAGCACTTTGTCAGTATCTGTTAAGTGGAGACATACAATGTCTCCCTTTCATAGCCTGACTTGCTTCACTCAGCAACAGATCTTCCATGTTTTTCTACTTTCTATCGAATTCCAGGGCCTTGTTGTTTTTTATGGCTGAATAGTATCCCGTGGAGTATATGTGCCACACATTTTTAATCAATTCATCTGTTTGTGGACATTTGGATTGGTTCCATTTCTTAGCAATCGTGAATAATGCCACAGTAAATATAGTTGTGCAAGTGTTTTTCTGACTGAGCATTCTCCTGTTCTTTGGGTAGATACTTAAGAGTGGAATTGCTAGATCATATGGTAGTTCTATTTGAAGGTCTTTGAGGAACCTCCACATTGTTTTCTACAGTGCCTGGACCAATTTACATTCCCATCAACAATGTAGGAGTTCCCCTCGCCACATTCCTTCCAGCACTTATCATTTTTTTTTTTTTTTAAATCTTCGCCATTCTAGCTGGGGTTAGGTAGTATCTCATTGTGGTTTTGATCTTCCTCTCTCTTATGATGAAGGATATTGAGCATTTTTGGTAGAGACTGAAAGTCTGGAGAACATAAAAGCATTAAAAATTGTCATGGACATTAGAGACAAAGTGGAAGGAAAGTGTGGGAGGGGAAGAGTGAAGGAAGGGCAAATTGGGGAAAAATAGAGGTAAGACATTCGTGTGACACAGACATGGTTTATTATCTGTTGATGAGGATGTGTATAGTATTCTCAACTGGACTGAACTGAGGTGTATATCATGGTGGGTAAAGTCTCTTTAAGATCTAAATGATGTACGGTGATTGAATGTATAAATAATGTAATAATAATAATAATAATAAAAAGAGGCACTCGGCCAAATGAAGAACAGGACTTGCCCTGGCCCCGAGGAAGGGTTTTTTTTATCTGGACTTTTTATTGCACATGTGGCTACCCCATTCTGACTGGGCATCCCACCTTCTGTCAGCAGAAAGAAGAAGCCTGGATATTGTCACCTCCCAGTGCTGTATAACGCTTGGCACTGCCTAACTGAAACGCCGTCTTGATATGGCCCCTGCTTGGCAAGATATGTTTTGAGTGGATGGAGGAGAAATAAACATAGTCTTCCTTTTTAAAAGTCTTTGCTTTTGCTCAAATAATAAGGATGACAATGGTAATGGCATCTAATGACATTAGATAACTCATTTAATCTTCACTAGCACCTCATGAATCAGATGCTGTGAACAATCCATTTTACAGACAATGAAGTGGAGGACTGAGAGGAGGGGTAATCTGTCCAAGGTCTCCAACCTGTGAGCAGCAGGGCTGGGATCTGAGCCCAGGCCATCTGGTCACTGAACTCTGAGTTAATGACTCACTTCTTCGGGTTGTCGCCTTCAGGTCTGACTGAGCAGAACTAACCGCAACAAGGCCGTTGTGGCCTCCTGGAGACAGGAGAGCTGCTAACTCAGTGGTAGGACGGGTGTCTGACCTCCCGGCCTCCCATGCAATGGGTCAGCTACCTGAGTCATAAGCGAAGGTTGCCAATATACTCCATGGAGACTTCCCATAAAAGCATAGAACTTAATTGAACCAATAAAACCTAATAATTTCTAAAGTGTAGTTACCATAAGTAAAAAGATTCATTATTAAGAACAAGATTTAAGGAAATACAACTTGTTGCAAGCAAGCATGTTTCTCACTAAGCTCTGTCTATACAAATAGGTTCTCCCTTAGCCAGTCCTGGGTCTTTCTGGACCCAAGGCCCAAGATCATGACCAGTTACATCAGGTTTAAGTGACATCTGTGGCTTTTCTTGAGCTCTAGATTTAAATATATATATATATGTACGTTTTTTTTAACTTGGAAACTTACAACACATGTTTGTGTACATCCTGCTTCTTTCTCTTATTAATTCCGTAATTTTCTAGTGCGAACCCTAGTCTGATATAATGCATTGGGTATGCTTCTGTCCACTGACTGGACCCAAAGTCAGTGTCCCCCCTCCTGCTGGGGCTGGCACCTCAGGAAATTCCCCTGACTCAAGAGTGCAGTTTGATTTTTGACCTTCTAACTCAGTGGCTTGTATTTCTTAGAGCATCAAGGGAGATGTGCCATGTAGGAGCCTTTTCCTCATGCTGGGACTGTCCCGTGGGAAGCAATGCTCCTCCACCCTGTGCTGTGATGAAACCAGGGAGAGCAGCAAGATGATTCCTTTCTCTGCTTTCATTTGGATGTTTGGTCTGTGCTGTGGCTCCTCTGAGTGTTTTCAGCTGACACTTGCTAGCATCCACTGCCAACAGGCCGTGTTTCCCTGGATCTCACTCTGAGTAAGAGACAGACATAGAGAGATGCAGAGAAATAGCAGCCCAGAGACTGTTCTTTGATGATTCTCTGAATCATCATTGGGTTTGACCTTGGAGGTTGCTCCTGGAATGGCAGACCCTTTCGACTCCTGATCAAAACACATATAAGGAAATCAACCCCCTTTAATCATGCAAATATTTGGATGCTAAGGGTTGAGTATCTCAGTGTCAGCAGAAGCATTTGTAAGGAGGCTCCTTACTTGCCTTCCTTTTCTCATAGGGTTTGCACAGCCACACCCCTCACCTTCCCAGCTGAGCCCACCCTTGGCCTTGAGCTGAAGTCCTAAGTATTTTAAAGCATTTCAGCAGAGGACTCTCCCACGATGATGAACTTGCTACTCTGGGTCCTTTGCCAAAGTTCAGGAGTATCCTTGCATTTGACTTGAAGCTCCCGCCTGCCCTGGTTTTGTCACTGTGTGTGGGTTAGGCACCGCTTCTTCCTTGGGCATTCAGTAAAATGCCTGTGTCCAGGAGGGTGACAGAGCAGCAATTGAGCATCATTGGCCCCCAGCGTTCTCTGACAGAGTGACTATGGCCTGGTCCTCCACTTCTGGATTGGGAATTCCATGAAGCCTGTTGTGGGTTGAATGGTGTGTCCTCTCCCCTCTCAAAAAGAAAAAAAAAAAAAAAAAAAGGATGCATCCACATCCAGGTCCCTGGGGCCTGTGATTATGACCTTATCTGGAAAAAGGTCTTTGTAGATATAGTTAAATGAAGGATTTTGAGAATGAGCTCATCCTAAATTATCTGGGCAGGTCCTAAATCCAAGTGTCATTATAAAAGACACACAAAGTGGACGACAATGTGAAGATGAAGGCAGAGATTGGTGTAACATGGCCACAAGCTGAAGAAACTGCTGGAAACAAGAGAAGGCAAGAAGGGACCCTCCCCTAGAGCCTCTAGAGGGAGTCCAGTCCTCAGAAACCTTAAGGAAGTGGACATCTCCCAGTAGACCAGTTTTTCCTGAAAACCAGAGATTCCAGTTGGCCCGAATCATGCTATAAGGAAATAAAGCTTATGTGACTTGCCTGGGACTTTCCTGGAAATGTGCACCTGAAATAGCTCAAGATGCTACCTTGTTTTATGAGCACCCTTATTGCCCAAATACACTCCTCCGCCACCTTCCGGACACACCGCCTCCATACTTGGCTCGAGCTTGCGCTGAGTGAGTCCAAGTGGCCATGACGTCCTCCTGCTGCCGCTATAGAATTTAGCCAGTCATTGCTGTACGAGACTCTTTGCTTCGCCACCCTCCCATTCATAGGTTTGCCTTTAAAATCCCAGAATCAGTGAGACCTTGGCACACAAACTTAGGGACAACTCTGATTTTGTAGGTCCCAGGCCATCACCTTAACCATCAGCTCAAGTAAACTATTTACTGTTTGATACTTGGGGTCTCCAGAACTGAGAGAGAATATATTCTGTTGCTTCAGGCCACCCAGTTTGTGGGGATTTGTTTGTGACAGCCCTAGGATGGATTATCTAATTGTATACCCCAAGAGATACAATTCAGGGTTCCTGATACCAGAGGCCTGAGAACGTCTCTTTCTTTTTTCTTTTGAGATATTTTTTTTTTTTTTTTTTACTATAGGGTGCGAACGCTCGCCAGACAGACAGAGAGAGACATAGAGACAGAAAGCGAGAAATCACCCCCCAGGGGGGATGGTCACGCCGCAATCCCTTCTCCTCCATTCTCCTCTCGGGATCTTGGGCATGCATGCACATGCACCCGATGTGAGTTTAAGCCACCGGGTCTAGGACGCGAACCGCGATCGACTACGTGGGAGTCCAGCGACATAGCCATTACGCTAACTGCTGGTTCCCAGAATGTCTTTCTTCACACAGCCGTTCTCATGAAACATGTTGAGCACTCAAGCTGTTAACTACAGGATCCTGGCAATAAGAAGGATGAAACTCAAAATGTCCTGCCTTTTATTGAGATGCTACTATCTATTTCCCTGAAGTTCTGAGGTGCCCCCTGTGACTTCCATAAGCTGGTGAGGGAGAGTGAAGACAATGGTGAGGTAGAGACAGGCTTGCCTGTACCCCCTGGGAGTTCTGGCAAGCTGCAGAAAAGGCAGTGAGGCCATAGTGACTGACTGAGGAGTTTTCCCTGCAGTCTAGGGGTCCTGAGGTCAAGTCCTGGCTCTGCCACTTACCACCTGTGTGAACCTAGTGAACACCAGTCACATGCTAAACCAACCAGTTTCCCTTCCTAGACTCAAAGATTCCCTTGCAGTCAGGTGAGGGGTATGTGACTGGGTTTTGGCCAATGAGAAGGGAGTGAAGATAACATCTGCTACTTCTAGGCTGACCACCAGTGCATAATCCTTCATCCCCTCTTTTATCTTCCTCAACACCTCTGAAACCATGCGCTTTAATGACAATGTCACGACATGGCTGGAGTCAGGACACCTGAGCTAACACCCTGTTTATTAGACTGATATGAAGAGAAATAAATATTTGCTGTACTAAGCATATTTTCAGGCTCATTTGTTACTGCAACATAACTTGGACTATCCTGACTACTACTGAACTTGGCAACAGTTTTAAATCTCTCTGAGGATCTCTCTGAGGTTTGGGACCACCAGTTTTTTTTTTTTTTTTTTCCAGTCAAGGTCATTTTCACTGTAAGTAGAAGAAATTAATTCATTCTGGAAAAATCTGAAAGGGAATTTGTTGGAGAGATTCAGGAAATCTCATAAAATCCAGCACCCA